AGTTGGCAAGAACAGAGAGAAAACCAAACACCGCATGTTCTCACTCATAGGTGGGAATTGAACAATGAGATCACTTGGACACAGGAAGGGGTACATCACACACTGGGGCCTATTGTGGGGAGGGGACAAGAGGGAGGGATAGCATTAGGACATATACCTAATGTAAATGACGAGTTAATGGGTACAGCACACCAACATGGCACATGTATACATATGTAACCTGCACATTGTGCACATGTACCCTAGAACTTATAGTATAATAATAATAATAAAAAAAGAATAATTCAGATGGTTTTGAACATTGGAGAGAAGTGTTTGTATAGGTTCACTTCAACATGAACAATATTTGCAAGAAATAAAATTTAAGTGGAGAAAAAAATTAAAAAAAAATAAAGATATTCAACGCTACTCAAACATTTCTGTAGGAAAGGGAGAACGTACCTTCAGCAGGCACCTGGCTTCAAGTTGCAAAATTACCTCTTGTCATAAAGATGTGAAAAGTTATTTTGTCATTGATTATAACCAATTAATATACAAGTATGTCTTTGCAATCTCTTAAGCAGACTGACTGTGATGCATGTCACATTCTGGTTTAATTGTGTAATGAAACAGTTTTCTTTCTGTGGTGTCATTGTGGAATTACTCTGGGGCTGCAGAAAACTTTTAATTTTATATTCCAAACACTGTTTTAAGTTACCACACATGATATAAACATATAAGGTGCCAACCAAGCTTTAATCTAGATGGGCCTTTCTATCTCAGGTTTCCAGTCAACTCACAATTGTTCTGCAAAATGCATGCTGTCCCCTGAATATGCAGGCAGATCGTGCCTCTGCCTATTTGGTATCTAGTCCTGTATAATCACATCTAGAGAAGCTAGACCGGATGTCTAAATACTTCACAGAACAGCAATCAACCATTTTACCTCTTTCAGTGACTCTTGTGTCTTTAGACCTTAAGCTGATTCAGAGACCATGGGGCCCAGAAACCCAGTTAGAGTAACATTCATGCATTGACTAGACATGTAGGCATGAGACTTTCCACTTTCCCCTTTCTCCTCTTTTTAAAATGCCCACAAATGTGTAGATGACACCTGTTGCTACTCCACCCATCCAGGACCTAAATTTGCAGCTCCAAATTCTCAATCTCGGTCTTGAGATTTGGGGGGGAAAAAACCTTTATTTGAGAAATGCAAATTATTTTAGTTATAAGGCTCAAAGAGACATTAAAATTAGACCACAGCTATGTCTTTCTCCCTTCTTTGAACTGTGTATTTACTTGTTGAAACTGCTTGCTATTGCCACAAGTAGGTATAAATTAAACTAATAATGACATGCTGGACACTATAACTCACACCCTATAGCTTAACAATGTATATCCAATTAGTAGTCAATGTTAATTTTTGTGAATAAAAAGAATTTCTGACAAACCAATATGTATGAGCCCACTCTCTGTCCTCTCATTTTGCCTTCACAAATCCACTTGTAACTGCTGCTCATCCAAGTGTAGATTCCAGGCAACTTGAATTTTTGCTCCCAGGTTACAATCCTCAGGTTACAATCCTCTGGGTTGGTTCAAATGAACTATTCCTGTTGCATCAGTGATTTCCTTTTAAGTAGACATATCATTTAGAATGTGCTAGAGCAGCCTCTAAGAGGGAATCTCTTTTTTGTTTTTAGACACTCTGCTTGCTGTAACACTCAAGAATGCAGAGCCAGGTTGATTCGACCTAGAATCTGCATAAAAGGTCTGGCCTCTGCCTAATGTTTACAAAGCAGGGCCAGACTTTGGATTGAGAATGTACAGGAAACCAGCAGGAGGCATTTTCTGCATTGTGAGATGTCAACATAGACATCTTAAAGCCCCCCCTTTAAGAGCGTGGCTCTTTGAACTTTTCAGATCTTGTTCAATGACCTGCTACAGTAATGTAAGAGGCTCCAGATGTAAATAGAATCTAATGGCAGAATCTGTAAGTGTAAACAGGCATCTTAGGAGTGAGAGATCAAGGTCACAAAGTATCCAGAGCCATGACCACAACTATACCTACCTGTAAAATAGGATACTGGAGTATTCTTGTCCTTCCTACCCAAGAGCTTGCCAATCAAGACAGGTGATCCAGGTTCTGGAGGTCCACCAGGGCAGTTCCATTTTCTATTTAGAATCAGCCTGAGTCTGCCCTGCTTAGCTTATCCTTAAGCAATCAGCCCAGGGTCACTGGGAATCTTCTCACAATCACCTAGGCATCTCTCAGACATTTGAGGATGTCCACAGCAGAACTGTGTCAGGCTGACAAAAACAGTTAATTCAGCTTCTCTCTCAGTGTAAGAGAAATGAGTCATCCTGTGTTTGTCCCTCCCCTCATACAAGAGATGTCTTTGCTTGGTACCCAGATGAGAGTTTCTCCAGTTTCCTGGTACGTCAGTGAAAAACAAGGAAGAGGTCTGGAGACTCAAACAGATAAACTAATTGCTACCATTTCATATGGCCATTAGAAAAATAGTGAAGCATTATTGTCCCTACCATCCAGAAACTGTTAATTTAGACACGCAACTGAATTCAACTTGGTTGAATTAAGCATCATATGGTTAGCACAATGAATAGATGTGTGCAAAAAAAAAAAAAGGGGGGGTTTATTTGGGCAACTTTCTTTATATTTTTGTAACTTCTGATGTCATCATTTGAGTGGATGTTTACGGACAAAAGCGTTGTTTTATTATTCTTATTTCTTATACCTTGCTAAGAATACATATTTATCTTCTAATAAAATTACCCTACAAAACCCTAAGAGATTTGTTTAAATTGCTTATTAGCATATGTTATAAAATTAACAGGGCAGTGGCTACAAAAGATTAAAATTTCACAACTGTGTGATGTAGTTTTCTTTTAGGTAAACTTAGGAAAAACAGAACTGGAAATACCCCAGGGACATAGAGAGCAGAATTCTATATAGGGTCCACTCTCTGCCCCAGCCCTGTTCAGATTCACCCTTTTTGGAGGCCTTATTTAGGTCTGGCCCCACCCTGGAGCCTTGTCTCACAGAACAGATTAGAAGAGAGATCAGAGTATTGGATAGTGAATCCTGCAGCCTTTCTAGAGCCAGTGCACACAATTTTCTGAAACCCAAAAGCAGATAAATAGAAAAAAATGTATGAATCTTAATTTTTAAATTTTTATTAAAACCAGTGCTTGCAGAGATATTCCATTTAGCAAACTGTTTTCTATTCCTGCAGATGCAGTAGTTGCTCCACAAGTCACAAAAAAATAAATATAAACACAATAAAAATTTATTTAAGCTACATTAAACTTTTTCTTTCTGTATCCTTCTCCTCTGTCTGTATTTAGCTTTTATTCTGTACATTTTTAAATAAAATCAGTGACAGAGAAACAGAACAAATAAAAATGCTGCACTTTTAATGTAAATCCTGAGAATTATTAAACATTTAGTACCAGCTCCCAAGGTGTTGTGAGGATTAAATCACATGTGTAATTCCCAGTAAAGTGCTCTGTAATATCCTCTTCAGCACACAGTACCTGCTTTATAAGCATTGCATTAGTACATGTGAAAATGTTTTTCAAATGCAGATTTATTCAGATACGGCTGCCTTCTGTTTGTTCTGTAAACTTTAGAGCCAGCAAAGAATATGAAAGTTGATTGTCTTCATTTGTCATAGAAGTATTTGTGTCGTGACAAGAATGCTGAGTGTAAGGGACTGTGCTGTGCCTGTTTTCTCTAACTAATGCTAATAACGAGCCCAGGAGGAGCATTCACAGGGGACTTGTTTGAAACACCCATTCATGAACCCTTTCCAAACCTGCAGAATCTCATTACATAGAGTGGGGCCAAAATCACCAAGTGATTTATAAGCTCAATGCTTGGAAGGCAATGCTTAGCTAAGTGGTTATTAGCCCAGACTTCTAATTAGGATTACATGACCAATTTGCAGAAATTTCTTTACTCGTGCCCTTTCCACATGTTTATTACTCTGGGTGGAAGCATCCATGTTGTTTTAGTTAAGTTTCTCATGTGACTCCAAGGTGAGGACAGAATCAGGTATGAGTTGTTCAAGATACATTCATGTGAATTGAGTTGCGTTTTGTTTTGTTTTTTGAGACCCACTCTTGCTCTGTCACCCAGGCTGGAGTGCAGTGGCATGATCTTTGCTCATTTCAACCTTCACCTCCCAGGTGCAAGTGATTCTCCTGCCTCAGCCTTTGAAGTACCTGGGACTGCAGGCATTTACCACAATACCCTGCTAATTTTTTGTTGTTGTTAGAGATAGGGTTTCACCATGTTGCCCAGGCTGGTCTTGAACTCCTGGCCTCAAGTGATCCACTCGCCTCTGCCTCCCAAAGTGCTGGAATTAGAGTTGTCAGCCACTGTGCCCAGCCTGAGAGTTAAGTTTTCTTTTGCAATAAAGGGTGGTCACAGGGCTGTACCTATTTGGATTTGGTAGGAAGAGGGCAGTGTGGCCCATATTTCCATTACCGTAGCAGAAATTACTGGTGTCTGTGGCAGTGGAGGGCACATTAGGACAGGAACAGGGAAATTTCCTTTTTTTTTTTTTTTTTTTTTTTAAATTTAGTGCTGTTGTCTCGCCCCGAGTCCGAGTCTCAGGTGTATTGACACGATACAGACTGGTTATGAAGAAGCTGCAGCTCAAGTAAGAAGTTGTTAAAATGTTAATGTAAACTGAAAGGGACAATTTTTTTTTTTTTTTTTTTTTGAGACTTTTTTAGACGGAATCTCATTTTGTTGCCCAGGTTGGAGTGCAGTGGCGTGATCTCTGCTCACTGCAAGCTCCACCTCCTGGTTTCATGCCATTCTCCTGCCTCAGCCTCCAGAGTAGCTGGGACTCCGCCACCACACCTAGCTAATTTTTGTATTTTTACTAGAGATGGGGTTTCACCATGTTAGCCAGGATGGTCTCGATCTCCTGAACTCGTGATCCACCTGCCTCGGCCTCCCAAAGTGCTGAGATTATAGGTGTGAGCCACCATACCTGATCGGAAACTTACATTTTTATTTCCATGGAGCAGATTATTTTTCCTGAATTTCTTCTGTTATAAAGGACAAAAATGGGTGGACTTTTTCTGCAGGTCTTGATCCTTCTGCTTGTGGGTGTGGTGGTAGCAAGTAAACAGGTGGTGCTGACACCTTTAAAATCATATTCCCAACATGCAGGTGTAATTTGTCCATAGAATCTCATCTTAAAAGGAATCCCAGAGAAAGAGGAGAAAGAGGAAAAAATGGCCTTTTTTTTTTTTTAGCTTAATGTGTCTCAGATCGAGAGCTGTGTCCACTCTGCCTCCTGGGATGCCATGCATTTAGTTCTTGCAAACCTTTACTTCTCTAATTGTGTTGTTTCTCCCTAATGAGTTTGTTTTAACTACTTTTAAAAATTCTTGTGATAGTCAAGGGTCCCTGAAAAATGTTTTTTCCTACGTACCAGAGGCTTCTCTACATCTCTACGTCATGGCTCTTTATATGCTATGTAGAAATCTCATTATGAATTTATAATCTGCAACATGAAAAATGTTCCCTCTGTGGCTGCTGAACATGGGAAGGTATGACTACTCAAGATTCCTATTGGGGAAAAGCTGGGGTCTTTAGTAAAGAAGGAGAACATGTAATGTTGCGGTTCCATCTCTGTTCTCCATTAGCTCTATGCAGAACACGATTAACAAAATGTTCTTTCAAACAGAATGGCATTTATTACCCAGAAAGTTCTGAAACAAATTATTAGGAGATGGATACCTGCTCTTTAGGGTGCTAAAGAAAGACTACTTAAAATCACTATTAAAAATTACAGAACATACGAATTATCTGTATCTTGAAGTTCCCATAAAACTAATTTTTTTGTGGTTAAATTCAAACTCTAATTTACTTTTGAGATCAGTATCACAGCAGTGATGCTGCATTTTTCTGTGTGCATCAGCACATTACAAAAATTTGTCCTAGTGCAGTTGATGTTAATGATTCACTTGGTTAAAGAGCTCTTGGACAGATTTCTTTACTATAATTATTTTTCTCTTCATTATGAAGTATCTTTATGCTGCTGATGTGCATAAACCGTAACATTTAATCTGGCAGCTGCCTTAGATTTTCTGTGCATGTATCTGCCTTAGGAAAATGAAAACTGTCATCCCTTTTTACAGGCCAGAGAAACTGGGAAAAACATGGGCTCATCCACTTACTGGATGTTTGACAGTAAGTGGGCCAAAAACATTGACATTACTGGTGAACTTGTTAGAAATTTAGAATATCAAACGATTCCAGATCTTCTGAAAAGATAATCTGCATTAACAAGATCTCAAGTTTATCGTACACATTAAAATTTGTGAGGTACCTTTTTTTTTTTTTTTTTGAGATGGAGTCTCGCCCTGTTGCCCAGGCTGGAGTGCAGTGGCCTGATCTCAGCTCACTGCAAGCTCCGCCTCCCAGGTTTAGGCCATTCTCCTGCCTCAGCCTCCAGAGTAGCTGGGACTACAGGTGCCCACCACCTCGCCCAGCTAGTTTTTTTTTTATTTTTTAGTAGAGACGGGGTTTCACCGTGTTAGCCAGGATGGTCTCGATCTCCTGACCTCGTGATCCGCCCGTCTCGGCCTCCCAAAGTGCTGGGATTACAGGCTTGAGCCAGTGCGCCCGGCCGTGAGGCGCCTTTTAACTCAACATGTCTTTTTCATCTCAAAAATATACACAACTCATTCTGTATGATGCAGATATAGCATTTAAAAATAGACATATTTGTGTTTATGCCCTAATTTATACTCTATTAACCGGAAAAGTACCATATATACACACAGATGTTGTGGCTCTTATGCCACTTTCTTTTCTCAGGGTTAGATAATACATTAGAAAATATTTCTATGTTAAGAATTATTTTAGGGATAATTTCATTCACTCCTGTAAGTCAGAACCAGTTTTCTTTACTGTCTTATTTTACTTTGAAATTTAAAATTACGCCCATGGTCACTTGGCAAATGTATGTGATTTTGTGTGTGTGTGTGTGTTTTTGTGTTTTTCAGGGACCATTGACATTTATGGATGTGGCCATAGAATTCTCTTTGGAGGAGTGGCAGTGCCTGGACAGTGCACAGCAGAGTTTATATAGGCATGTGATGTTAGAGAACTACAGAAACCTGGTTTTCTTGGGTGAGGGTAACTTCAATACACATTTTCTAATATATCCTAAAGGTTTTATTTCTCTTTTTTCTAGAATGTTTTTTGGTGATTTATGCTTTGCATAAATGAGTTTCGGATCCCTGTTTTCAAAAAAAATCTTTTAGATTTGTCATTGTAGAAAATAGTTTCTTCAAGATATTTCATCTTTACCATAACTTTCTGTATTCCTGAGCTGATCTTTATCATTCAGTCTTGATTAGTGGTAATTTTTGAAATTTATTGGCATAAAATATTTTTGCCCATACCTTAAAATCTAACTCCCAACACCAATTGTTTTGATTCAGTAGTACCAGGTAGTGAAATTAAGAAACTACAAATTTAAAATATTTTCTAAATCTTTAGAAATTTTTGTCATAAATTAGCATTTGGGGATTAATGTACTAGAATATTCTATTACATTCTCTTTACTGAGCACACTACTAGGTTGGTAATTGGATAATATGTGCAAGATTTATGTTATTTATTTTCAATAAAACAGGTATTGCTATCTGTAAGCCAGACCTGATTAGCTGTCTGGAGCAAGAAAAAGAGCCCTGGGATATGAAGAGACCTGAGATGGTAGCTAAACATTCAGGTAAGTGAGAGTGAATACACAGATGGCACAGAGAAGAGGTCAAAAGGCCAAGGAGAAGGACACTGCTTAAAATGTGATTTGGTAAACTGTGGTCCAAAGGAAATAGTTTCTGGAAAACCTGAGTTTTTTTTTTTTTTTTTTTTCTCTTGCATAGGACATTTTCTGTCTTGTTTTTCAGTTCTCTAAGGATTCCTTTTTCCCTTTAGTGATCTGTCTTCAATTTCACAGTGAAAGCCAATGTCCTCTTCATGGGATATAAAAGACTGCACAATCTGACTGTTTTTGTTGTTGTTGTTGTTGTTGTTGTTGTTTTGGGGGATACACAAATGTGCATAATTTTGAGAAACTCTACGTTAAACAGTTTTTAAATTCTTTTTGCATCAAGTCTGAAATGTGTGAGTAGTGGTTTCTGTTCCATTGTTATTTGTTGTTGTTGTTGTTTATTTTTCTGTGTATTCCATTCTGTTTTTACTACTATGGTTTTGAAATATAGTTGCATATGTAAGGCATACACAGTGCCAGTATACGTTTTCAGGATTTGGCTATTTTGGATTGGCTTTTTCTTTTTATTTGGCAGGACAGATTTGCTGCTGGTATTTGCTACAGCTATTTTCTTCAGGACTTTGACAATGTCACACAGTTCCCTTCTGGCCTGCAAAATTTTCTTGAGAAATTCACTCATTACCTCATAAGACTATTCTTATAAATAACACATCATTTTTATCTTGAAACTCACAAGATTCTCTTGTCTGTGACTTTTAAAATTGTGCTTATATATGTTCTTATTGTAAATATCTTTGCATGTATCTAGTTTCTTTGTTAAGCTTTTTCATTTTTACATCATTTTTTCTTATAATATTTCAGTTCCTTTTTTGTATTTTCTACCTTCACAATTTCTGTTTTTTGATATTTTTAATATTTCTGTTATCCCAATTTTTCTGATTTTTAATAGTTGTCTGTGTTCCTATTTCATTCATGGAGTATTATTCAATTTATGTTAACTTTTTAAAATTAATTTTTTTTAATGGTTGCTTTCTGAAAATTGTATAATATTTGATAGAGCTATGTTGCCCTAAAATTTTGTATACATTGTAATCTTTAATTGAAATTTGAACATTGAAAACAAGCTACCTATCACAGTGTCTATAATGTAGCTTTGTCCTGGCAACGTTTGAAACCGTTTGTCTTAGCTAGAGATCCTGAGAGTCTTTCAAATATGTTCTTAGGATGTGTCTTGTCTGAAATGTTCTAGTTGTTTTTTAGTTAAAAGACTTTATTCATGTTTCTTCTTAATAGTCATCACTTGCTACAACTGTTCTCTGTCTGTAGTATAGTCTCTTTCCTGCTGTAACATTTACCTTTGATCTCAGTAGACTCAAAATGTCATTCCAAAGTATACCACTGTTAATTTTTGCACTTTATGTTGTAGGAGACAGAAACCAGTGTCAGCAAAAGCTCCTAATAAAGCCAGAAATAAAGATGTGGGTGTGTTATTTTTCTTGTCTTTTGAAAAAGAAAGCAAAAGTTGGTCATTTACTTCTAAAGACACTATGTTATATTGAGAAACAGAAAGAACTGTGTTGGGTAAATGTAACAGACTTTTCTTTTCCTTTGATGTGGCTTTTGGCATTGTGCTAACCTGGAACACTACACACACTTAACTCATTTATAAATTTTCCACAAATGCATTTTGGTCAGTATGCTTTTGTTACATTTATGTGCCTATGAAGGAATTCAAACCTGTGGTATTTTGCTATGCCGTCTTGCTTATGTAGTTTGTGTAACTTTATGGGTTAGATTTGTAAAGTATATTCATCTGAGTTGAGCAAGTGAAGTAATTTGTTATTTTTATTTCTTTCAGTTATGTTTTATTATTTTGCCCAACACCTTTGGCCAGAGCAGAATGTAAGAGATTCTTTCCAAAAAGTGACCCTAAGAAGATACCGAAAATGTGGATATGAGAATTTAAAGTTAAGAAAAGGCTGTAAAAGTGTGGTTGAGTGTAAGCAGCACAAAGGAGATTATAGTGGACTTAACCAATGTTTGAAAACTACCTTGAGCAAAATATTTCAATGTGATAAATATGTAAAAGTTTTCCATAAAATTTCAAATTCAAATAGACACAAGATGAGGCATACTGAAAATAAACATTTTAAATGTAAAGAATGTGGCAAAACATTTTGCATGCTTTCACACCTAACTCAACATAAAAGAATCCATATTAGAGTGAATTTCTACAAATATGAAGAATGTGGAAGAGCCTTTAACTGGTCCTCAACCCTTAATAAACATAAGAGAATTCATACGAGAGAAAAACCTTACAAATGTAAAGAATGTGGCAAAGCCTTTAACCAGACCTCACACCTTGTTAGACATAAGAGAATTCATACTGAAGAGAAACCCTACAAATGTGAAGAATGTGGCAGAGCCTTTAACCAGTCATCAACTCTTACTACACATAATACGATTCATACTGGGGGAAAACCCTGCAAATGTGAGAAATGTGATAGAGCTTTTAAGCAAGCCTCAAAGCTTACTGAACATAAGTTAATTCATACTGGAGAGAAACCATACAAATGTAAAGAATGTGGCAAGGTTTTTAACCAGTTCTCAACCTTTAATACACATAAGATCATTCATACGGGAGAGAAACCTTATGAATGTGAAGAATGCGGCAAAGCTTTTAACTGATCCTCAAAACTTACTGAACATAAGTGCATTCATACTGGAGAGAAACTGTACAGATGTGAAGAATGTGGTAAAGCCTTTAACCAGTCCTCAACCCTTACTACACATAAGAGAATTCATAGTGGAGAGAAGCCCTACAAATGTGAAGAATGTGGCAAAGCTTTTAAACAATCTTCAAACCTTACCATAAAAAAATTCATACCGGAGAGAAACCCTACAAATGTGAAGAATGTGGCAAAGCATTTAACTGATCTTCAAACCTTACTGAACATAAGAAAATTCATACTGCAGAGAAATTCTACAAATGTGAAGAATGTGGCAAAGCTTTTAACCAACTCTCAAACCTTACTAGACATAAGCTAATTCATACTGGAGAGAAACCCTACAAATGTGGAGAATATGGCAAAGCCTTTAACCAGTCCTCAGCCCTTAGTGCACATAAGATAATCCACACTGGAGAGAATCCCTACAAATGTAGAGAATCTGGCAAAGTTTTCCACCTATCCTCAAAACTTAGTACACATAAGAAAATTCATACTGGAGAGAAACCCTATAAATGTGAAGAATGTGGCAAAGCCTTTAACCGATCTTCAACCCTTATTGGACATAAGACAATTCATACTGGAGAGAAACCCTACAAATGTGAAGAATCTGGCAAAGCTTTTAACCTGTCCTCCAACCTTACTGCACATAAAAAAATTCATCTTGGAAAGAAACCCTACAAGTGTGAAGAATGTGGCAAAGCTTTTAACCAATCTTCAACACTTACTACACATAAGATAATTCATACTGAAGAGAAACAGTACAAATGTGATGAATGTGGCAAAGCTTTTACCTGATCCTCAAAACTCATTGAACATAAGAAAATTCATACTGGAGAGAAACCTTACAAGTGTGAAGAATGTGGCAAAACTTCTAATAATTTCTCAACTTTTACTAAACATAAGATGATTCATACTGGAGAGAAGCTATACAAAGGTGATGAATGTGACAAAGCTTTTACCCGATCTTCGACCCTTACTACACATAAGATAATTCATACTGGAGAGAAACCCTACAAATGTGAAGAATGTGGCAAAGCTTTTAATCGATCATCAAACCTTACTGAACATAAAAAAATTCATACTGGAGAAAAATCCTACAAATGTGAAGAATGTGGCAAAGCTTTTAACCGATCTTCAAACCTTACTAAACATAAGAAAATTCATACTGGAGAGAAACCTTACAAATGTGAAGAATGTGGAAAAGCTTTTAACCAGTTCTCAACCCTTACTACACATAAAACAATTCATACTGGAGAGAAACCATATAAATGTGAAGAATGTGGCAAAGCTTTCAACTTATACGTAAACCTTACTACACATAAGAAAGTTCATACTGGAGAGAAATCCTGCAAGTGTGAAGAATGTGGCAAAGCTTTTAACCAAGTGTCAACTCTTACTATAGACAAAAGAATTCATACAGGAGAGAAACCTTACAAATGTGAAGAATGTGGCAAAACTTTCAGTCAATCCTCAAAACTTACTACACATAAGAAAATTCATACAGGAGAGAAACCTTACAAATGTGAAAAATATGGTAAAGCTTTTAACCAGTCTTCAACCCTTTCTACACATAAAATAATTCACACTGGAGAGAAATGCTACAAATGTGAAGAATGTGGCAAAGTTTTTAACAGATCTTCAAACCTTACAGAACATAAAAAAATTCATACAGGAGAGAAATCCTGCAAATGTGAAGAATGTGGCAAGGCCTTTAACCGGTCCTCAACTCTTACTAAGCATAAGGTAATTCATACTGGAGAGAAACCATACAAATGTAAAGAATGTGGTAAAGCTTTTAAACAGTTCTCACACCTTGCTGTACATAAGATAATTCATACTGAAGAGAAACTCTACAAATGTGAAGAACGTGGCAAAGCTTTTAACTTATCCTCAAACCTTACTGCACATAAGAAAAATCATACTGGAATGAAACCCTACAAATGTGAAGAATGTGGCAAAGCTAACCTATCCTCAACCCTTACTCCACGTAAGACAATTCATACTTGAGAGAAACCCTGCAAATGTGAACAATGTGGCAATGCTTTTAACTAAATCTCAAACTTTACTAAACGTAAGAAAATTAATACTGGAAACTTTACAAACCTAAAAGATGAGACAATGATTTTGAAAACACCTTCAAACTTTTCTAACCATAAAAGCAATCATACTGGTGAGAAATCCTAAAAATGTGAAGAATGTTACAAAGCCTTTAAATGGTTGTCACACTTGATTATAAGTAAGATAATTTATACTGGAGAAAACTCCCAGAAGTGCGAAGAATGTGGTAAAAATTTTAATTAATTTTCACACCTTATTGCACAGGAAAGCCCTTCAGAAAAATTGTACAAATATAAATGTGGAAAAGCCATTAATACCTGGTTACATCTTACTCAACATTAGAGAGTTATTGCTTAATAAAAGCATTATAAATGCAGTTAGTGTAAAAAACTCAGAAAACAAAAACTTTCTTTTTTAGATGGAGTCTTGCTCTGTCACCCAGGCTGGAATGCAGTGATGTGATCTTGGCTTACTGCAACCTCTGCCTCCCAGGTTCAGGCAATTCTCCTGCCTTAGCCTCTAGAGTAGCTGAGACTACAGGCGCACACCACCACATTTGGCTAATTGTTTTTATTTTTAGTAGAGACTGACTGTCACCATGTGGGCCACCCTCGTCTTGAACTCCTGACCTCAAATGATCAACCTGCCTCTGCCTCCCAAATTGCTGGGATTATAGGTGTGAGTTGCTGTGCCTGACAAATATAAGCCTTTAAAGAGATATAAGCAGTTTGAAGACAAACATTAGGAACATAAAGAGGGTTGTAGTGTCTTTACTTGTATCACAGATTTTGTTGTACACATTATGTACTAAAGGAAAATCCTGAAGCAGTGATCAAATTTTGATTAACATCAGGGAGTTTATATTGGAGAAAAACTGCAAATGTAGTATATTTGGAAAAACATTTTTTCAAGAACTACTGCTTAGAAAACACCAGGGAACTCATACTAAAATATATTTTTGAAGATGCAGTAAGTATAAAAGAAATTTAATGCAAAATTAACTGGGTGTAAATATCAGAGAATTCACAGTAGAAATATCTAAGGCACTGACACTTCAGACATTGCACTTAATCAGTGTGCTGAGTACAGAAAATGCTCCAAAATTAAAGTTGATAGATAAATTATTTGTATATAACTTTAAAAGAGGTAGAAATATTTTTAGTTATAATTACATTTAAAGTGTACTTTTTTCTTTGAAAAATTTACAGAATTTTTAAAAAGTGAGTGATGTAATTCAACTCAAATTACTTCATGCTCTTCATTCCTATTGTATTCACATGTAAAAGCATGTGATCAATTGTTGCTTCATCAAAGACATGAGACATTCTTTTTTGTTAGGTGGGCATTATTTTTGACCTTTCCTATGGAAGAGTAAAGACATTACAATGTAGGATGCATCACAAAAATCTAAGTGGACAGGCGCTTTGTGTTTAATTTATAATATTGATTGATGTATGAGGGAGGTGTTCAGAGGAATATTCTTCTGCATTCTAGTGAAAATATCTTTTGTTTTAGTTAAAATTAAATTAAAATAATTAGTATGTCATTTTACTAATTGTATTTCTATGTAATAAAATGCAGCACATTTAAAAAAATTTTAGATTATTGTGAAGTTAATTTTTTAATTAAACTTTTTTTTTAACGTATTAAGACCATTGTGCATTCAATGAAGTGTTATTACGCCACTGACTTTAACCTATCCCACCTTACTCAAGAGTGTAGGTAAAAGATAGTGACATTGTACTGTTTAATAACATAGTGGACTAACATCTCTAATAATTTCTCTTGCCAGTGACTTTAAACTAAAGAACTTAATTAAAGAACATTGTTCCCATAGGTCAAATTTTTATTCTTTTTTCTTATTTAAACATTTTTCTTAAATTTTATGGGTACATAGTGTGTGTATATATTTATGCCATATATGGCATATTTTGATACAGGCATATAAATATGTATTAATCACATTAGGGCAAATGAAGTACCCATCAACTCCAGCGTTTATCATTTGTATTACAAACCAATTCTATACTTCTAGTTACTTTAAAATGTACAAGTAAATTGCTATTGACTATAGGGTCATTTTCATGGGCATAATAAAAATTATATACAAGTATAAATAAAATCCCGAGTCTTAAAATTGTGAGTTCTGCCTAAACATTTTAAAAATTTTGTTATGTATTTTTCTTTGAATATATCTCTCTGCCTGCAAACAACAGAATTTTAGTATTGGTTTACATAGAGTTAACTATATATATATATTACCCTAAAAATAAACCTTAGGTGCCAGAAAATTATGGAGTGTTTTTGTGTGAGTGTGAGTTTGTACCTATTTTCAAAAGAAAAGAGCAATATTGGAACAAAACAAATATTTTAATAAAGTAATTTACTAGAGCACTGAAAACTTCAAAAATGCTGAAAGTAAATATATACTCTGCTTTGTATTGAATTCATTACTTTCAAATCTTCTGACTTATGATTCAGAATCTCTCCATGCAAATGTTTTTACTTGCCTCTTAGTCATGCTAGACCTATAATTTTCTTGTTTCTTACCATTTTTTTCTTTTATAGTTTATGAGGTATTTATTATGTGAACTGTTCATGGATTGTAAGAATGATTTTTATAAAATTTAGTACTGCACACAAGACAATTTTAGATGTATTTCCAAAATTGTTTATTAATTATATTGTACTTAGTTAGAACATTCCATTTGTTCTTTTAAATGGAGAATCCTATATAAGCCTATATTTCTTATTCTTTTCTCTTGTTATAATTGACGTAAGTTTATTTATTTATTGAGCCAATTTGTTCAGGTAAGAACTAGGAATACTTCATAAGTTATGAGGATGTTTTTATATATAAATGTGGCAAACAAATATGACAGTGGTTGCTGTGTAACAGATGCTCCATAATAGGCTGTAAACATTCCTGCTGGAGTTAGTTTGTAACTTCAAGTCAGAGATGGAAAATACCAATAGTGAAGAAATAATATTGATTCTTCATGTGCAGATAACGTTTTTTTTTCCCATGCTGCAAAGCTAAATCTTGCTGAATTTCAAAAGAAATTTTGGTTCTTTTATTTCCTAATTACCTTTAGTTTCGTTTGTCTTATTATGTGACTTCTGTGTATTCATCACAGCCCTTCTTCTTTTTCTATGTGATAGCTCCACTTTTCTCACTGTTGTCTTCATGCCATGTCATTTTATATGGTACTTTGTAGGTTTTGATGAGAAAGTTGATATTTTTAATGCACTCAAAAATCGCTTTTCACTGGAGAGTGCTTATCAATATAACTTTCTGATCAGTTAATTAAGATAAAAGGCATTCACTGTCCACAGGTGAGAGGATTAAATCAGTTAGCATTGTTTTTTTCTTTTCTGTTTGTAAAAGGAAAAACTTACTAAATTTTTAAACAGAGTTTCACTCTTGTTGCCCAGGCTGTAGTGCAAATATGTTGTGACAAATACAAAATTTGCTAGAAAATACATCTTAGAAATTAATTTATAAGAGAGCTAATGGTAAGTGAAGAATTTAAAATTTAATTTTCTACGATATAGCACAACATACATTTCCATGCAGAATCTTTTATTTTTAAATGTGAAATTTAAAGGTTGCAAAGTAATAAAATGACCTCTGTGGATTTGATATTTGGAATAATATTTCTTTTTTATATTGATATTACAATTTTGAGGAATTTTTCACTCATTTTTTTTTAGTGGGTGAAGGTGAGTTTACAGTTTTTGTTCTTTGTCACCTAACTATAGTCAGCTTCTTGGTCATTTTCTCTAGAAAACTTTTGAAGATTATGGCAGCTTTTGGATTAAACATTTTCTGTTATATTTATGCAAATTTGTTTTTTGTGTTCACAAGGTGGCCAGTCATGAGACCATAAGCAACATCTGCCCTTTTAGTGTCTTTCATGCTATTACCATCTGTAATAAATAAATGTGTACTTATTCTGCACAACATGATGTTTGCAAGTATATGTTGTCAAATGCTTAATTCTAGGTAATTAAGGCTTTACCTAACATCACTAACATTTTTATGGTCAGAGTATGTGACATTGTCAGCGTTTTTCAAAAACACAACTACATTGTTATGATCTGTAGTCACTATGTTGTACAAAAAGATCTCTTAAACTTATTCTTCCTATTCAACTGTAATTATGTATTCTTTGACCAACATCTTTCAAAACCCCCCCTTTTTCTAAATACCTTGATGTCTGGTGGTCACCACTTTACTCTCTACTTTAATGGGTTAAGCTTTTAAGACTCCCTGTGTAAGTAAAATCATGAAAAATAATCTTTGTGCCTGACTCATTTAGACAAATATGTCTTCCAGGTTAATTCATGTGATTGAAAATAATAGAAATTTATTTTTTAAAGAAATAGTATTCCATTGTGTATATATACCACATTGTCTTTATTTACTCATAAATGTTGAACTGTTGGTTCTGTATTTTGGTAATTGTGAAGAGTGTTGCAAACAACGTAGAAGCAAATATGTTTCTTCATTCTGGTTTCACTTGTTTCAGATATATATCAGTAAAATTGCTGTATTATATTGTGGTTTAATTTTAAATTCTTTGACAAATTTTCATTTTTCATAATGACTCTCCTCATTCACATTCAAACCAACAGTGTGCAAGCATTCCCTTTTCTTCATACTTTGACTAACCCTTTCTTTTCTTTTTAACAAGAGTAATTCTAACAGGAGTGAGTTGATAATCTCCTAGTTTTTCTTTTTGCTTTCCTGATAATAGTTGATATTGAGCATTTTTTATGTATCTTGACCATTTGTCTTTTCTTGAAAAATATTTATTTAAGCCTTTTGCTCATTTTGATAGTTATTTGTCTTTTGTCTTATAGTCATTTAAGTGTTTTATATGTTTTTGTTATTAACCGCTTGTCCTACGTATGATTTGCAAATATTTTCTCCCATTTTTTCAGTTGTCTCATTTTGTTGATTTTGTCAGATTCCATGAAGCAGCTTTTTAATTTCAAGTAATCTAACTTATCTATTTTTCTTTTGATTTTGTTGGATTTTGAGGTTAAATAATAAAAGTCATGGCCTAAATCAATGTTATGGGCTTTCACTCTTTATTTTCTTTAGTAATTTCTGAGTTTTAAGCCTTACATTTAAATATCTAATTTTAGTTGATTTTTATATTTGGTGTGAGAAGAGGGTCTCATTTTGTTTCTCTGCATGTGGATATAAAGTTTTCTCAACCTCATTTGTTGAAGATGCTGTCCTTTTTTTGAAGAAATTGTAAAATAAGTTAGCTTAAATATGTGGATATATTTCTGATCTCTTTTCTGCTCCATTGACCTATGTGTCTGTTTTTATTCAAGTACCATACTGTTTTGGTTATTATAATTAGTAGGATATTTCAAAGTCAGGTATAGTGATACCTTCAGCCTATTTTTACTTTTTTTATTTTCTGCTTGGTTGCTTTAGCTATTCAGGGTCTTTTGTGGTACCATATAAATTTTAAATTGATTGATTGATTGAGACAGAGTTTAACTCTTGTTGCCCAGGCTAGAGTGCAATGTCATGATCTTGGCTCACCACAACCTCTGCCTACCTGATTCAAGCAATTCTCCTGCCTCAGCCTCCTGAGTAGCCGGGATTACAGGCATGCGCCACCATGCCTGGCTAATTTTGTATTTTTACTAGAGACGGGGTTTCTCTATGTTGGTCAGGCTGGTCTCGAACTCCCAACCTCAGGTGATCCACCCACCTCAGTCTCCCAAAGTGCTGGAATTATAGGCTTGAGCCACTATGCCCTGCCAAATTTTAGATTTTTTAAAAAATTTCTATTAAGTGTGTAATTGGTATTTTGATAGAGTTTGCATTATATCTATAGATCATTTTGTGTAATACAGATATTTAGCAGTATTAATAAGGCCAATTCATGAGTAAGTACTACTTTTCCATTTATTTATTATTTAATTTTTACTTGTATGTTCTTTAGGTTATAATGTATGGTGTTTTAACATTTTGATTAAATTTATTTCAAAGTATAGTTACTACAGTTATTGTAGATGGGATTGTTATTTAATTTCATTTTGAGATAATTTTTAATGTGTAAAGATGATACTATTTAATGTTGATTTTAAATTCTACAAGTTTAACAAATTTGTTTATTAGTTCTGGTGGTTCTTAGTGAAGTGTTGGTCTTTTCTGTACTTTATGTTATGTGCAAAGAGGGATAGTTTAACTTTTTGGTGTTTTCAGTCTGGATTCCTTTTATTTTATTCTCTAATTTCTCTGTCTTGAATATTTAGTACTACATTCAGCAAATCTGAAGGAAGTGGGCATCCTTGTCTTGTTCTAGCTCTTAGAGTAAAAACTTACAACCCTTTCCTGTTTAGTATGTTGTTAGCTTTGTATTTTTTGGTTATACATGGCATTTATTGGCTTGAGATGCATTTGTCCTGTACCTATTTTTTTTTCAGAGATTTATCATGAGGAAATGTTGAATTTTTTGAAACTTTTATTCTGTATTTATTTAAATGTTAGAGTTGTGAAATCACAATTAATCCCATATAAATACAGAACATCCTCAGATACTACTATAAATATCTCTATGCATGCGAACTAGAAAATTAAAAAAAAATAGATAAACTGTATACACACAATCTCCCAAGACTGAACCAGGAAGAAAGAGAAGTCTTGAACAGAGGAAAAATTTATGATAAAATTAAATTTATAATTTAAAAAAAACCCTACATAGTATAAAAAGCCCTGGATCAGATGAATTCATAGCCAAATTCTACCACATATACAAAGTTGAGCTTGTACTAATCCTTCCTAAGTCGTTATATGAAATCAGTATTATCTGGATGCCAAAATTTAGTTAAGATGGCAAAAAAATCTATAGTTCAATATACCTGATGAACATTGAAACAAAAATCTTTCATGAAATACTAACAAGTTGAGTTCACAACCAAATCAAAAAGTTATTTTGCCATAATCATGTGAGTTTTATTTCATGAATGCAAGGGTGTTTATCATATGCAAGTCAATAAGTGTGGCTCACCATATAAAGACAATTAAAAGGATTAAACCATATAATTATTACAATGGATGTGGAAAAATCATTAAGAGAAATTTAATGTTCATTCATAAAAATATTCTTAACATACAAGGCATTGAAAAAACATACCTCACAATAATAAGAGTCATCTATGACAAATCCTCAGCCAACATTATACTGAACAGGCAAAAGCTTGATGCATTCTACGAATAAAAATAGCTACGTCCACTCTAAATATTCCCATTTAACATAGTTCTGGAAGTCCTAGCCCAGAGCAATCCAACAAGATAAAGAAAAAAGAAAAAGGCATCCAAATAAGAAAAGAGGAAGTCAAATTATCTTCACTGATGATACAATTCTCTACTTGAAAAACGTTAAAGATTTCTCCCAAAGACTCCCAAGCCTGAAAAATGACTTCAGAAAAGTGTCAGGATACAAAATCAATGTACACAAATGAATAGCATTTCTGTACACCCTGAATAACATTCAACACTTGAATAACATTTAAACAGAGAACAAAATCAAGAACACAGCTCTATTTAAAATAGCCACAAATAAAAAATAATATACCTAGGAATGGATTGAGTCAAGGAGGTACAATATCTGTAGAAGGACAACTACAAAACATTGCTGAAAGATATCAGGGACAACACATGAAAATGGAAAACATTCCATGCTCATAGATTTGAAGAATCAATATAATAAAAATGTCCATGATGCCTAAAGCAACTTGTAAATTAAATGCTCTTTCTGTCAAACTATCAATGCAGTTTTTTGTAGAATTAAAAAATGGTTTTAAATTCATATTGAAGAATAAAAGAGCCCAAATAGCCCAGACATCTTTAAACAAAATGAATAAACCTGGAAGCCTCACATTACCTGACTTCAAACTGTACTACAAGCTACAGTAACCAATATAGCATGGTTCTGCTACACAAATAAACATGTAGACCAATGGAACAGAAGAGAGAGACTTGAAATAAAGTTACACTCCTACAACCAACTTATTTTTGACAAAGTGAACAAAAATGAAGGGGAAATAACTTTCCATGTAATAAATGGTACTGATAAATAGTGGACTATATGGTTAGTCATCTGCAGAAGAAAAAAACTGAACCGCTACCTGTCACCATGTGAAAAATGTAACGCAAGATAGATTAAAAACGGAATGTGAAACTTCAAGCTATGAAAATCCTAGATGAACACCTAGAAAGTACTCTTGTAGATAGTGGTCCTGCACAGCAAAAGAAATTTGACAAAGTAAATGGACAACCTACAGCATGGAAAAAAATATTTGCAAACTGCATACAACAAAAAATTAATATATTAAATCTTTAAGAAATGTAATAGGATAAAAGCACAGAATATATCAATAGATACTTCTCAAAGGAAGACTTAGAAGCTGCCAAGAAACATGCAAAAAATTGCCCAGTATCCCAAGCCATTAAAGAGATTAAATCAAAATGACAATGTGATACCATCTCACACCAGTTACAATGTTATTAAACAGTAAAAAAAATAAATAAGTAAATAACATGTGGAGAAGAGGGAATGTTTACACACTCGTTGTGAGAATGCAAATTAATTCAGCCTTTTGTTGATTAATTCAGCCTTTTGTTGAAGCCTCTCCTTCAATAAAAGATGCCATGAATTTCAAGTTATTATGCTGACACATATATTGTCTCTAGAAGCGTTCTGGTTTGTTTGCAATCAAGGTGCAGCATTTCTGGCTTCCCTTGTGCTGCTTTGTTTGTGTGAAATAGGAAGGCAGGAAATAAAACCAAGCAAACCATGACATTTCTATTTTCTACAGACACAATATCTGAATTCTAGTGTTATGTCGACTAGAAATAATGTATTTCAAAACTGAGAAAAAGAAATTGATACTTTATCCTTTTGTTTTTATAGATTATAAAAATTTATAGTTTCTGAATTATGTAAGTTAAACAACCTGAACATGCAGATACCTAAAAGTTTTACCTAGATAACATTATTAATATTTTAATAGGTTATGATTGTGAGTCACAGTTGCCCCATTGAGTTTACTGGAAAGCAGTTATTTATCTTCTAAGAGTATATAGAGAATAGGCTTTCATAATCCTAAACAAAGAGATCTTTTAAAATTAGCACTATATTTAGATTTGAATAAAATTCATATTCATAGGTTTATAGTAACAGAAATTTTAATATATTTTCTAATAGAAAGAAGTCAATAGAAATAAGTTATTCAAATGAGTTTTTAAAAATTTCACGTGTTCATTAAATAACATTTAAAATTACATTGTAGGTGACTGATTAGTAATTCCAATCTATTTCATTTTAGTCACTGAGAAAACAATATCCTTAAATTATTCAATCAGAAAAAGTATTCTTATATTAGTGTTTCTGAAACTTTCAGAAACTGTAGACCACTCAATGGATGGGGAGGCATGTGCAGACCTTTTTTCTTTTTTTTTTTAAATTACACTTTAATTTCTAGGGTACATGTGCACAACGTGCAGGTTTGTTACATATGTATGCGTGTGCCATGTTGGTGTGCCGCACCCACTAACTCGTCATTTACATTAGTTATATCTCCCGATGCTATCCCTCCCCCCTCCCCCCAACCCACGACAGGCCCTGGTGTGTGATGTTCCCCTTCCTGTGTCCACGTGTTCTATTGTTCAATTCCCACCTATGAGTGAGAACATGCAGTGTTTTTTTTTTTTT